AATAGCATCCTTGAGCCACCTCAGAGCCCTTTCCGGTGTGGAAGGCCGCGGGATCAGCCCTGCAAAGTCTTTGCTCACCGTCGGGAGCAAGTAATCCATGTCCCGGAATGCCTCCTCGGATACCAACCGCCTTACCGAGGCCACCCAGGTAGTCCACCAGGGGATTCCCGTGAAGCTGTACTTCGGAGCAATCAAGGGGACCGGGTTGCGGTTGATTCGTGCTGCAGAGACCGTCTTGGTCTGCCAGGCCTTCAGCTCCACCGTGTTGCTGGTGTGGATAAGGTCCTTGGGGTGAACGTGCTGGAGGTCATTGAAGCGAGCGCTGCAACCAACCTGGAACCGGGCGAAGCCCAGGATGAAAGCGTCCAGCACCTCGTGTCTGCTCTTTCCCGGGGCCTCCTGCGTGCCGGGGCCGGTGGCACCCAGGCAATCGTAGCCGGCCCCCTCCTCCAGAGCCCAAATGACCTCTTTGCTGGGAACCACCGCCTTACGCTGTGGCCTGGTGACCGTGTCCGTGAGCGCCTCTTCCAATGAGCTCTTCTTGGACTTGAGGCGATGGAGCTCATCTACCTTCAGCAATCCGAAGGTCTTTGAGAACCACTTGAGGGTGTTCCACACCTGCCGCAACTTACACGGGGTGACCTCCTCATCGGCGAGCTGGTTGAGGAGAGAGCGGACCCTGCCAAGGAATGACGGTGAAGCCTCTCTTGCGGAGACTCTCGTAGACCAGGCAATGTTGCCTGAGCGTCCGGAACCTGCTGTCCCCCAAGAGGTCCAATGCCTCCTTGCGGAAGTAGTTCCAGGATCTGATGGCCGGCTCCCCGCCCAGCTGCCTCCCTTCCTCTGCCGTGCCATGGCGCAGGCACATCAGAACCAGCAGCTCCCCGTCCGTCTGTCTCGGGGAGAAGGACTCCTCCGCCAACGTGTCCCACAGGACCCTTGGAATGCGGTCCCAAAGACGAGTGTAAGGCGGGCGCAAAAGAAACTTTGTAGAGACCCTAGCCATGATGAAAATGGGGGGGGTTCGAGCCTCCTATTGAACGGCCGGGACCCAACCGCGACACACTGCACGCATGTTCCAACCCCACAGGATGCCGAGTGCAAATGGGGCAGGCAGGCCACATGCAGCCCAACAGGACCCAAAAGTCAACCCCCGGAAATCCCCAAAAAGGACCACGGAGGGGGGAAGACCAACCCGGCGGGGGATTCCCCAAAACCTCCAAGGGGATCTCAGGGAACCCAGAGTCAGCCGCAGCCACTTTCTCCACACGGCCGATATGGCCCGTCCTTGGGGCAGCCAAAGCGTGCAGCCTCCAGATCGAGGCAAACCGGCAGTCGTGACGCGTTGAACAGGGGGGGAAACCCATGTGAAAGAAGAACCCAACAAGGGGGCCTTACTCCTCCCCCCACCCGAGACGGGGCCAGAGGCACCCAAGTCCCGGTGGGAAGAGATCTCAAAAGGCTGTGAGACACGACCTAGCGGCTCTCACCCTTCAAGATCGCCTCCTTAGCTACCGAGTGGCCGCCAGCCCTGACTTCTCCGGGTTGCTCAAGATGACCGACCACAAGGCAGTGGAGACATCCCCCAGGCCATTCGAGGAGCTGAAGCGCATGCGCGGAGTGCTCGCATCGCCAAGGACTAGCCGCTCGTCCCTGGGAGGCTCTGTCGGCTCCACCCGCTTGTAGAACTCCATCCTGTCCCGGATCCACTGATTATATAGCTGCTCCGGGGGCTCGTCCATCACCAGCTGCAGGCATGTGGCCTTGTCCTTGTGCCACCCCGTGATCTGGAGCAGCCTGGTCCCCCCGCGGCTCGCCCTCCAGAAGCCCTTGCAGAACCTCCACATGTAACCCCCGGTGGTCTTGAACTTCTCCTTGCCCACCACTTCCCAGGCGCTGATGCTGGGCAGGACCAGGCCGCACTCCACGGAGGCCCAAAACACGTGCTTCGTCTCCTTCGGGAAGTGCTTGTTGATGTACTTCCGGCCCGCGACCGCCGTGGACGTGGTGATAGGAGGGTACCGCCTGGTGCCCTGGTCCGGCGTGCGGAGCGTGGTGTCCGCCCCCCCGCCTTGGGGTCCGATTCCTTGGCCGCTCCTCCCCCGGGGCCAGAGGCACCCAAGGGGGGGGAGCAACCCAGCTGCCTGATAAGGTCCTGGGAGTAGCCCAACCGGTCGTACAGGGCCCCCGCCACCTCCTGCGGGACCTGCTCCACCCAGTCATGGACCACGTTGCAACGCCAGTTGACCTTGACCTCCACCATGGAGGACTTACTCAGGCCCGACACCAGCTTGGTGTACACCGAGTCGAAAGCCCTCAACGATGACAGCGGAAGGGTGATTCGCTCGTCGCAGACCGCCCTGAAACGCAGCGCCTCCTTGCTGTCGTGGACGGGGGCCACTGGGATCTCCATCACCGGCAACGGGCAGTTAACGATGAAATTCTTGGCCGCCAGAAACGTCCCCATCTCCTTGAAGATGTAGCTCCATTCCGCCTTGCTGCGCGGCTTGGGGATTCCCAGGCTCTCCAGGAAGGGGACCGCCTCCTTCCTCATCTGGAGGATGTTGCCCATCCACTTGTCCGAGGCCGAGCCCTCCGCATTGCGGCCCCGGCGCTGCGTCTTCACGATCAGCGGGAAGGTGGTCCAGGCCGAGTAGATGTACTTGAAGGTGAACCTGTGGGCGTACACCCCCGTCAGGCTCGGCAGGTCCCACGTTCTCGTCTGCCTTGTCCAAAACACTCCATCGCCCTTCGCCCAGAAGATCCCCACCACCTGCTCCGGCGCCGGGCGCTCGCCCCGGTTCACCTGCGCTCGGATCTCCAAGGCCGTGTAGATGACAGGGTCGATGTGGTCCTGCTCGCACGTGAGTGGGTGGGTCCTGCGTTCCAGGGCCAGAAGCTTTTGCGGAGTGAGCTTGAATTGCTGGTCCGCGCCCTTGGGGATCTCACCGCTTGAGTGCTTCTTCCAGATCCCCCCAAACATCCGTAGCTCGCCTTGGTGCCTCTTCATCGCCCAGAGGAGCAGGGACAGCTTGCCCTCCTCCGAGTTCAGGTCCGGGGCCAGTGGCAACTTTGGCCAGATCGGGCATCTCCTCCAGCAGCGCCTCCTGGTTTCATGGGTTCTGCGCCTCTCTGAGCCTCCTGATGTAGGGGACATACTTCTCCTTGATGTCACCCACGTTGGGGATGTCCTCGGGGTCATCCAGCTCCAGGGGGCAGAACAGCCCCCTCTCCAGCGCCTGCCTGAGATCATCTGGCCACGCCGACACTTCCAAGGGCTTGAGGTTAAGCATCCATGCCTGGTTGGTGTCCTGGGTGCGCTTGTTCGCCTCCTGAGCCTCCTGGAGCCCATCGCCTCAGCCAGTGCCTGGCTGGCGTCAACGCCCTTCCCCTCCAGGTACTGATCTCGCAGCTGGGCCTTGAATCGCACCTTTCTGAGGGCCCGGGCTCCCTCATTGGCCACCTCCTCTGACGGCAGGGCCTGCATGCCCTCCTGGAGAGGCGCCAGGATAGCCATCTCATTGTCCAGCATCTCGTCCGTGACCAACTCCTTGTGCCGCCGCCTGGCCGAGGACTCCTCCGGCGTCGGTTCAGGCCTTATGCAGCTCCTCCGCTCTGAGCCTCCGTTTTTTCAGGGACCGCTGCACTTTGACCTTGACCTCCTGGTGCTCCCGGACCTTCAACGCCTCATCGTCCGCCTCCATGGACAGGATCTCCTGCCGGATGTACGTCTGCCATGGTAATCTCCTCTGCCGTGTCCGTTTTCGGAGGAGCTCTCCCCAGGACCGTGCCGTCCACCAGGTTGCAGTCTGCCTGTGCCCGGGTACCACCGGGGCCAGCGGCACCCAGGCTTCCCCCTTCCCGCTGCTGGATCCAGGTCGGCTTGCCCTCCACAATGAGCAGGTTGTACTTGACGCCGTCCGCCTCGTAGGTAGCCGAGGGTGCCTGGAAGGGGACGAACTCCTTGCCCGGGCAGACCCAGCATTGCTTGGCTGCCTCCGGCCACCCCGTGCCGCATGCCTTGCACATGAATTTGTAGTCGGAGTGGCCTGCATCGAGTCTGTGCATCCGCTGGGTGCCAATGCACGCCTTGTTCCTCTGGAACTGTGAGGCCCAGACCTCCTCCTGCCGGATCTGGATCTTCATCGGAACATAGGCCTCCAGGATGCGAATCACCAAGTCCTCCGTGAGATTCTTCCCGACAAACTTGTGGAACAGGGAGACCGCCTCCTCCACCGTGACGTCCCGCAGCAACGTGGCCGCCGATGCCGGAAGGACCGGGAAGAGGTCTGGGAGGTCCACCAACTTGAAGTAGCCGGGACGGCCCTCCACCGGCACAAGGGAGACCGGCTTGTTCACCTGAGCCGTGGTCTTCTGGGAAGCCGCCACGAAACCCTTCAGCCTCTTCGTTGGTGGAGTAGCCCGCTCCGTGGCGTCCGCATCTTCCATGTCCTTGTCCTCCTCCTCGGCGGGGCCAGGGGCACCCAGGCCGGAAGTCGGTGTGGAGAAGGCCACACGGAGGCGCTCCAGTGCACTGGAGAGGTCGTTCATCACATCGGTAGCCGAAGCCGACGGGGGGGCCTCGGGCTCGTCCAACACCAGGCCGGCCGCCACTGCCGCCTCGCGTGTGCGAATTTCCTGGGCCTCCTGGCTGGCCATTTCCACCTCCTCCGCGGTGAGCTTCTGGTCCTCAATCAGCTCGAAGGAGGTTGCCGAGGTTGCCGAGGAAGCCATTGCTAGATCGGAGTTAGTTCGGGGTTGTTTTTCACACAAGTTGGGTTCAAAGAACCCAGGGCAAAGCTTGAGCCAAAATGGCATGCGCCATTATGGTCAAGCATTGCCAACACAGTTCATGTTTCCACATGCGTTTCAACATTAACAAATTCTCGTTTTGACGTGGGCAAAGCCTCTGCTCCCGCCTTTGCATTTCGACCATCCCCCGTCCTCCACGGGTCTGGATTTTTCGCATCAAGGGCTGCAGGTGTCGCGTGCCAAGACACCGGCGAGGGCACATTGCAGGGCCGAGGGCAGCTGGGGTGCCTGGGAGACCAAGAAATGAGAGTGACCGAGCTCAAGCGTACTTGCCCAAAGGGCCTACAAATAAAAGTTTAACCTGTTGGGACCTTTACGAAAAGTGGACCAAAAACGTGGAAAATCCAAAGGTTTAGAGAGCTGGCTTTGAACAACTGAGCAAGTCCCACGCACAGAGATGATGGTGCAGTTGGTCAAAAAGAAAATCCTTGTGGGGCCTCGGTTGCCCTCTCCTGCAGCTTTTTGCGAATTGAGGAAACCCATATTTAGACCATGACCATACATCTTGTCAGGAGCACATCGAATGTGCGGAGACTTCCTAGCACCTACCTCGAAACTTGAAGTGAGCCAACTTTTGCCAGGACCGAAGAACAATAAAGACAGCCAGCTCGGAGAGAAACAAAGGCTTCCGGCACCTCTACCCGAGACATCCAAGGAACTTCCGTGTGCTCGTATTGGGCCATGTCGGTGAGAACTCCCGCCGGCATCGGTCCCCGGCCAACTGCCAAACTGCATGCTGAAAGAGTGGCCAAGGCCAGGACCATCCAGCTTGAGACGAATCGCAAAAGGAATCTGATTTATCCCATCCCACCTTTTTCTGGCCACGCACCTGGTGTATTTGTTGCGCGGTCACCAGCCAAAGGCCCGGGTCCCATGTGCAGACAGGCACCGTCTCTGGGCCCCCCGGCGTGGTGTTCCAGGCCATGAACTGAAACTTCCAGAGCGGGGAATCCTCCGTCATGCCGGCGTACCTCGGAATGGGTCCCAGAGGGCAAGGCGCTCCTTGGGTTTCGTTTTATTCTAAGGAACGATTCTCGTTTTTGGAAGACTATCGTAACGCCTTTTGCCCACTTCTGTCGGGAGAGAGGGTACTGCAAGGGCGCAGGCAACACATGGGAAAGGGTCCGCCTGCAAATGGGTGAACACCCGAAACAATTGGACTGGCTTCCCCTTCAAACAACCAAGAAACAAGGTGCCCTCCAAATGTGACATGCCTCCGAAGACACCCGTGGAAATCTTCGATGTCTGCGTCTGGCAGGGTCACCGCAGGCGTAGGGTTAGCTTTTCTCTGCATTTTTCACATCCATTGTGGCACCCTCTCCAACTCCGTGCTTGAATCTAAAGGTTGAATGCCCTTGCCAAACAAAACATCCGGGAATTGTCGCCTTTGTACGACCGCGATATGAGGATTGCTGACCCCATTTCCCCTTGGGAAGTGGTTCAAGGATATCAGAAGCCTTGGGTGACCCAGGCAGGGGGTAGGATGGAACAAAACAGTAGGCCCTGGAGGGTTCTGTGCCCATATGCTGTATTGGGTGTTATTGGGGGACGCACGGCCTTTGAAGATCGCCTTTTTGGGGCAGTTTGAGTTTCCCGGATCCGTGCGGCAGTTCCGAACAAAAAGAAAACACACATCGCACCGTTCGATTTTGCTGTTCAGTGGGTTCCATCCTTCAAAACATAGTTTTTGTTCGGGCCCGCTGAGACTGTGTTTTCAACCCGCCCTTGGGCATCGTTGTTTTACAGGTAGGAACTGGGTGGCACTGTGCGCTTTTGTGGCCTTTTGCCCTTCCCTCAGTTTTTCCCATAGAGAAGCTAGAGCGCGCAGGGCCAAAGGCCGGTGGTGATTTCTGCGGCAGCAACCATGAGCTTCACCCGCAAAACAAGTTCCCACCAAGCCCCCACAAACTGCCCGTGCTGCTTTTCCGGCTCACACCGGAACCAAAGAAAAAACTGAGCCTCCGCAAGAAACCGAGAACCACATCCAGGAAAACCAACATCCTGCCCTAGGCAGAGATGCCATAAAAGCCCAGGGTGCAAATACTTTTTGGAGCATTCTTGGGACCTCCGGCTGCCAGAAAGCCCAGCGGTCGCAGCAAGGTACTCTCGCTGCCATGCTTTCAACTGCCACCTGTTGGCGCATTTTGCTTGGGGAGGTCTATATGTGTTTGAGTTTGTGTCTTCTTTCAGGGACCACGCCCATATGTACGTGTTTCCGGCCACGGGCACTCTCAAGCCATGGCCATGGTGTGCAAAGCTCTACAAGAAACCCACCATGGCCCAAATAGTAATGTGCCTAGGGAATAGCCTATTCCTTCATACACACGTGGGACATCTCGCCCATAAAGTCATAGTCTTAGTGATACCAACCATCTTGGATGTGTGCGCGTGTGTTAACGATCCAGACTCCGATGCTACCAACTCCGTGGTTGCTTTTGGTATCTGGCGGGTGGTTGGCCAACTTCCGGTGCGAGTTTCCATGAAGCATTCTCCCACATCTCCGTGCCTCATCAGATCCGTGGAAATACAACCTACCGGTGGAAGCAAATCGCACCGGCAAAGATCACGTACAAATTCAAGCCATCGACCAATTTCTATGGCCAGGCTGCCACTGGGGGTGCCTCGGCATGCCCACATTCTTGGCCCACATGATCGCCTGAACGAGATGGTTGCACGAAGGAACGAGATATAAATGGCCCCGCGCCATGGAAGTTGGACCTAGTGGCTGGATCCTTGTTCAAAGCGGTCCGATTACGAAGAATGGACTGCTTCTTTTGAGGGACAAGCCTCGGATCCAGAAATTTTGGCCAGGACCATGGTTGTGGATGATGGTTTTCTTCATACCAAAATGAGATTAAGGGGATTTCCGCGGCATCACCGAACATCCCCCCCAAACCCCATATCCCGGAACCATGCTAGAATTGACCTAGAACTGTCGGCTCATGGGAGAAGATGTTGCAGACCCTCCCCCCTCCCCCCAGACCCCACACACGACCCCCACGACCCCCACGATCCCCACCCCCAGGACCAGTGCTAATGAGTGACCGCCAGTCCGACAAGGCGGAAAAAAAACTCGCGGCTCTCAGCTCTTCCCCTCTCTCAGCCCCGCCCGCCAGCAGGGCCCCCCTTCGCCTGGCCAAGGCTCACGCGCACGGGGAACTTGCGGCGGTTCCGCTTTTCAACTAGGCAGACTTAAACCCAGGGTGGTTGATTTCCCCAAAAGGCAAACCCCTGGGCTCAAGTCTATCCCCCAAAGTGGTCAAACAATGGAACCCTCAGGGGTGCTCAGAACTGGCTCTCTGGGTTCTTTGCAATGAGATCTTGAGTGTGTCTTTTCTTCGGTGTCCCCTCAAAAACGGTGGTTCTCCTTTTGGTACTTTGCTTCAAAACAAAAACCAAAAGGTACTAGTACCCTCAAAAAAGGGACACGCGTCACCTTCCCATCAAACCTGCAAGGTTGAGCCGGCTCGAAGCACGGCTGCCAGCACGCCCAGTGACTGGTTCCCCGGCATGGATTGAAAACGTGCCAACTTCTGGTTGACTGGAATGCACTCGCCTGGGACAACGTCATGACAGCCCTGCTCCTCATCCACCTGCGCGCGGAGACAAGAAACTGGGCTTGCAAGAGCAAATGGGCCAAAAACAGAGAGATTGGAATGAAGGTTCGCAAGTTTGAGTGTGCAGCAGGCCTCAAGTCAACGTGCACCCTCTGTAAGCCAGCCGCCTTTCCACTCGTTTTCCTCTATCACTCTGTATGTACCTCATGGGGATCTCGGGCAATCCAAAGGCAACCAAAAGCCACCAGAAGAGCGGTAGGTCTTAAGCCCCATGGCCAAGGCAAAGCCACCTCGGGCCTTAACCTCGGTCTTTGGAGTTAAGGGTTGCTCTAAAGATCCCAGGCCTTGCGGTTTGAACGAACGGCTCGGAACCAATCTGGGCAAACAAGACATCCCAAGGTATCATCCAGGGTTTTCCCTCGTTCCCCACACCCACCCACCCACCCACCCACCCACCCACACACACAACACACCGCGCTTGCCCAGTCCCAATCCCCTCCGCCGGCCTTTCTCTTTCGGACCTGCAGGGCGTTCAAGGCGCAGCCCTCAGCCTGACACTCGTCATCGGCCTCAGCCGAGCAAAACCAACCCCTTTCCTTTTCGAAGCTCGGAAAACAGCACGACTGGGTGTGAGTCTGAACTGAAAGTGGCCGCATTGGTGGAAAGAAATACACAAGGCTCAATGGGCCCAACAGCAATTAGAGGCTATTCATAGTCACAAAAACGCACGCAACCCTCACATAGCACTGTCAAACGAGTCCGCCCTGACATCTGTTAGGCAGTTCTGCAGAAAGGAACCAGTGCTAAGTGAACCGCACCATTACTTAAAGCCCGCTGATACAGCCTCCAAGGTGTGCTGGTTTACTTGCCTCTCCTCCATCAAGCTCATGGGCACGAACAAAGGGATAGCCCATCCTGTGCAGCGATGCTTCCTTGCAGATTCCCACCTGGCAGACCCGATGCGAACCTTGACTCAAAAAACGAAGCACCCAGAAATGAGCTTCACAAAGTACGAACTCAATAGGCCCGGTTGCTACATCTCTGGGTGCCCGGGCCTCTAAAACCGGCTCTGCCGCTGCCAGGGCCAATAGGAGCCACAGCGCCCGCATGGCCAAATGAAAAAGCGCTTTCCACAAAGACGGAGGGCTGTGAGCCGAAAAACGCGTGGATGAGACGCAGAATGGAAAAGCAACTTGGGAAGCGCCTGAGCAAAGTGAGGCGAGAAACGCGGAGAGAAGTCACGGGCGAAGGGACGGACAAAGGATGGCGATGAGTTGGTTGCCTTGCTGCACCAAACTGACAAAGGGGAGGGGAGCAAACATTTGGGCTCTGCATTTTGAGCTTCGCAAGTAGAATATGTGAAAGGTGCCTGTATAGGCAAGTGTCCTCACGGGGCAAGCAACACTGACAAGCTGTAGGAATCACCAACCTCCGCGCTGCAATACCCAAACACATGCAGTAGGTGCACATTTGGGGATCTGGACCTGGATTCAAACCTGCAACGAATGTGTAAACACGCAATGCTCAGAGGCTCCGGGTGTTTTGGGTTGGCCTTGAGGCATCACTCGAAAAATACGAGTTGAGGCCATGCAAAGAAAGCATCCTTACGGCCTCCAAAGAGCTGTGTTCTAGCTGGGAAATCCCTCCACTCAAATTCAAGTGGTAGGCCATGTCATGTGCTGCTTACGGAAAATGTCAGTAAGCCAGGGGCCAGAAGGGGTGAACTCAATGAACTTGAGCAATTTTGCACACCATGTGGCTACAACATACGACAGGGAAGCATGCAATTGTCAGGATGCAAGACTGCATGAGCCCATCAAACCCGATCTGCCTCTGCGCTTTGTTCCTTTCAGCTTGTGGTCTGCTTCAGGACGGCTTGATGCTATGATCTGATGGATTTTTCAGACTCACCGTGGGAGAGAAAGCCCCAACTAACCCACATGGCTCTCTCGCAAATTAAAGATTCCTTGTCTCAAACCCACATTCTTTCAAAGCAGCCTTTCCCAATGCCTTTGCCAGCAAAACAAAACTAAAAGGGGCAGAATGGCCACCTCGCATTGAGGTAACAACGCAAGCCTCTCCAAGCAACCAACGTTCTGGGGCGTGTTTGAAGAGAAGCCATAAGCAACCCCCTCATTCCTTCTCTCTGCGCACTTGATCCAAACCCAACAAAAAAACAACCGCTTCCCCCACTCAAAAACCAACCTTCTCCCCACTGTTTGGTCAAAACCCACGTACCTTGCCCATTCCTTCCAGGGATTCTTCTTTCCAGAAAACCTCCGGAAACCCAGGGAAAACGGATCCGGCTTTTGGAAAGAACCATGGTTGAAAAGAATGGAATTGGAATCAACCCCTAGAACCCCTAGAAGCTTCCCCTCTGCTTGGGTCAAACTTCCCACCCAACGGCTCTCCCTTCCACCTCCACGACCTGGGCGGGCCAAGTCCGCGGTCCCACGGGCTGCACCAGCGCCGCATCGATCTCAAGCGCGGTCGATCCCCCACGGGTTGCGACATCCAAAAAAACCGCAAGGAAAGGATTCACTGCATCGGTTGCGTTCTGCTCCCCTGCGAAAAGTGTTTAACTTTTGGTGGTTTAAGGGAAACCCCATTAGTTGGCAAAATGTTAAAGGCCTAACATCCAAGCAAACTGCACCAAAGATTCGGCTCCGGCAAAGGTATTGTGGCTTCAACCATGGATTCAAAGTGGTGCGAACAGAGCAAGTCGTGGTTTTCCCAACGATTCTACGATTTGATTCCCCACTCTCTTCACCCATCGTTCTTAGAACCGATGATCCAGGGTTTGGCCCATCTTCTGAAGAGAAGGATGCTGAAGAGAATCGGCAGGGTACAGCTAGCGGAGAGGAGAAATGCACTAGCCCTCAAAAGCGCCGACCAAGTCGCAGAGGGAAATTGGCCGGAAAAGGCTTTGTTCCCCATCATTGTCAAGGACGTGACATGAGGGTTGTATAATAAGGGCATTCCCTTTGTTGCACAGTTTGGGATAGTTCTTTTTTGGAACCACTCAAAATCGGAGGGTTCCAATATTTGAGACAAACCCAAATGAATGTATGGGCTCTTCCAACTTTGGGTTGAGGTCGCCTGTTGAGAAGCCTGGATGTTTTACTTCACCTCCACCTCCCCCAGGCAAATGCTTGTGCTTGGAATGGCATGCGTTTTGCAACCATCATGAACGGTTTCTGTTTGCTTGTCAATGATTTCTTTGTGCTGCTCACCCGCATAACACACCAATGACACCCGCATGTAGCTCCCTTGATGGGCAGCGGGGGCTGACGAGCAGAAGGGCTGCAGGGCTGAAGGGCTGAAGGGCTGAAGGGCTGAAGGGCTGAAGGGCTGAAGGGTGGCGCCCACAATGCGCAGCCCCAAAATGCATGTTGGCAACCCCACGTCCTTTGTCAGAACACTTTGGGCTCCGCAGCATCCAGAAAAAGACCCCAGGGAGCCCCGGGACCCGAGGGATCCACCACGGAAAAAAAATAAGACAACAAGAAAAAAGAAAGAAAGAAACAGTCCCATCCCTCTCTGGGGCCACCGCCAAAAAGTCCTCGCCCCGGCTGCCTCAGCTTCAGCTTCCCTTTTTTCTCATGATGACGAGTCCCACACAAAACCTATGCCCAAGGAGAAGAAAACCCGCCAAACAGCACTCCAAAAAGACTCGGCGTGTCACTTGGTTCTGAACGCACTGCGCGCCGCGTTATCGCAAAGTGCCAGAAGACGCAGAGGGCTTCAAGAATCCAGAGCTTCTACAGTACCTTTTAGGCTCCTGATTGCTTGCTGGGCTTTCTTGCTTTCTTGCTTGTCCTCTTTGCTTTGCAAGCAACTGCACTCAGCTATGACCCCCGGCAGCCCTCGGCAGTGCCACACCAGCACACCCGCAGCGGCAAGCTGCTGCGCACCTGGAAATGGCGGACGTCCCTCCATTGAGATACATCCGAAAGGGCACACCGAACAATGTGGCTGTGGGTCAATAAGGTGGTAATTACCAAAACGGCTCCTTGGTAAATAGAACCAAAGACTAAAAGCCGCGTAACCCCAGCTCTTTAATTTTGAGCCATACCCATGTGTGAAATCAAATTGGCTTCCACTCGAAACCAGTCAAACGGCGCCCTCTCCCTAGGCACATGTACTTGTTGCTGCTCCGAAAGACGGGCAGTGTCATAGGACCAGCAATGAGTTGCGATGTTTGCAGGGGTAATCCCGTGTCCCCTGATGGCCGCCATTCGGATAGGTACCAAGAAGGCAACGGGCTGCATGAAGGTGGCTTGCCTTCTGAACTTCAACGGCAGGCGAAACAGGAGGCCAAATCACCAGGGCTGGGAGAAAAGCAGGCCAAAGCCTCGGTCACTCCGTCTAGTTCAGCCGCAAGCAAGCAGGAACAGGCGGCGATTGATCCAGCATTCCCAATAAACGAAGTCTCCCTTTCTCCCTCTGACTCGCGAAGGCCCAACTTCCCGTCAGGTTTGTCAAGGTCTTTGTCAGGCACACCCCCAACTCATGGGGCCATTTTGGGGCGAGTTCCCCTCGGCGAGCGCTCTCAAATCTGAGATCCTTTCTCCGAACCCTTGTGAGCTAGGGTGGCCAGCCTTCAACCAGAGAATCAAGAAACAAACACCTGCCTAAGCATATGCGCCATTGTCAAGACTCCTCATTTGGGCCATGGTCATGATTCTCCTAGCAGAGTGATTCTCAAAGGAAACTCATGTAAAACCAAAGCAACAAAGGGAACCAATGGAAAACAAAGCCAAAGGAAAACAACGGAAGCCTATGGGCCAACAAGCAGCAAAGCCAATGGAAAACCAAAAGAAAACAAAGGACACCTATGGAAACAAAGGAAACCAGTCTAAAACAAAAGAAAACTAATGGAAAACCAACGGAAAGTCAATGAAAGACCAACGGAAAGTCAATGAAAAACCAACGGAAAGTCAATGAAAAACCAATGGGAACCAACGGAAACCCAATGGAAACAACCTTCGAGACTCCTGGTTCTCGCCTTGACGTTGGTCCAGGTCACTGAATCCGCGGTGATGCGGTGCGGAGCGCCGCTGGGCCTTCAGCGTCCTTTTGGTTGGGTTTTTTTGTTGCACCTGTCCCCATGTTTAAAGAAAAAGGGTTGGCATCTGTTTCATTCAGGCATCCCAGAAATATAACATAGTTTTGGAGATCCGAGCAAAGGGCATGTGAAGTTGCGCACAAAACAACTTAGGGTCTGTTTCATTGATGTACCCTAGAAATATAACATTGGAGATCCGAGCAAAGGGCATGTGTTCAATACAGCAATGCCAAATGGTGGTTTGGCTTTGTTCACTCATGGCTCTGAGCAAATTGGCTTTGCTCACTCATGGCTCTGTGGACAGAACCGATGGGAATCGCATGTGTTTCAAGGTGGCTTCCTCAAGAAGTCTGGAGCTGGCTGCAGTTTTGATCATGCTCCTGTCATTGTGGAAAGAGAACAGGTGCGCCAGTTCTGTACATATCTGAAGGGAACGTACGCCATGTTCATGAACAGCAGCTCGAAAAGGGCTGGATATCCGGCCTCAGACCTTCACGGATGGAACCCGCAAACAGATCTTGGCAGAGACGACACCAGCAAACATTGCCAGTGAAGGCCAAAGGGGCCTGGACCCATGCCAAACTGCCCTCGCTGCATTCCTTGCATTTTACAAAGGGAACTGGACCCCAGATACTCTCAAGGTCAGTTGATCTGAACGCAGGGAAGCTTGGTGCTTTGACTGGAGAAACTCGCGACCCACAGGCTGCAACCCCTTGGGAACTTGCTGGAAACCTATGGCAACCGAATTGACGGGTTTCGGAAACCGAAGGCCCCACCCTTTGAGGGTCAGGCTTCGGAAGGAAGCTTTCACATGGCTACCTGTCACAAAACAAAGATAAACGGCGCGCCTCTTGGAGGACGCCGAAACTGGCCGGAGCCATGCGTCGGGCTTCAAAAGGTCGGGCTTCAACTGAGGCCCTGCGTCCAGCGAAGTTTTGTCCTTTCGGTCGCATCACTAAGCTCCCGGACACCGCCTCCTGCTGATCGTGCTCGATGGAGCTGGTGAAGTACTGGCGGGAATGGCGCGTTCTTAGAATAAAAAAGGAAAAAAAGAAGAAGAAAACAAAAAAAACTGAGGTTGCCCGTTGGGCTGGTGAAAAGTGTCATGAGCTAAATTGCAAATGTGCATCTTTTGAGAAGCTCTGTTTGGGTCTGTGGAACGGAACCCCACTCCCTCACCCTCAGGTGTTGCTTTCCCATGAAATATCCCCGAAGGTACCCTCGAAATACATATCCATTTGGGCCCCTTGGTAGGCACAGGTCCAAGTTGGAGCCTCCAATCCCGGTCTTCGTCCGAGAGCCAAGTGGTCGCGGTCCCGCAAAAAATCCGTCGCTGCGTAGAGGAATGGTGGTAAAGATTCCCACCAGTGGTCCCTAACAAGCATGGAAAACGGTAGGTCAGGTGCCCCAAATCATTCGGAGACTCTTCCTATCAATGGTCATCCTTTTGCAAACCATCTGAAGGCAGCGCTTCATTCTGAGAGGGTAAAACTTTGAAGAAGATTCACGCTTCTCGGTTTTGAACCACTCGGGTCTGGGCTGTCCGCACCCCCCGCTACAAATTTAACTTTGAGTGCATGGAAATCCCCACGAATGACAAACCTAAAAACCTAAGGAAACGGATGGCTGGGAGCCACCAAGGGGTGTGTGCTTCTTGACGCTCGTCTCTCGCCCCATTCTCAGCGCCTCGGCCGCGGGGCTGCCACAAACAACCGTGGAGGCGTCCACAATGCGGATGCGGTCGCTGGAGCCTGCCGCGCAATCCCCTTTGGCCGGTTTGGGCGTTTGTTGAATATGGAAGAACGTGATGATGCTGATGATGAAAATGATGATGATGATGACGATGACGATGACGATGACGATGACGATGACGATGACGATGACGATGACGATGACGATGATGCATATGAATATGAATATGAATATGAACATGAATATGAATGATGAATGTTTTCATTGTGATGATCGTGGATGACTGTGATGATCATGATGATCATGTTGCTAAGGGGATCCACTCTGAAGCAGGCTTCATGCGACTGTCTGGTTTGCAAGGCTTGCAATTGGCACGCATCCGCATCATTACAAGCAAAGCCTACACATATGATAGGCCTTGGTGAGAAGTTCTAGGCCTTGACAAACTGGGGGCGCCTTTCCATGAAGTGCCTGTGCAGCCGAGCGCTGCCAAGGATCATTGCTATGACACGTTACTTATACCATTACACCCACTGCAACTCGCCGGACAAGCATCTTGCGGCTAGAAACATCTGCGCACGATGGTTCTTGGTCGTTAGACATTCGTTATCTCGGCGCGATTGGTCCCATTCACTTCATGCAAGCCTGCAAAAGAATTACTTGCGTTTGTCTCGAAAAATACATAGAACATTCCCTTTGAACAAACAAACAAGAGGGCACCCTCACAACGCGAGGCTCCATTTCTTACACACCCACTGAAAAGAAACTCACTTTAAATTGGCCTACATTATCTTAAAACCAACCAAGGAATACAGTCCGGCGCCTTTTTCGGGGTTCCATTGAAAGAAGCAAAACGTGCGACAGGGGTGGCCCAAAATGGAAAAGTAGTGCTTCGTTGAGGCAAAGTCACCCTTTTTAGAACACCCATCAATGTTTATGCGTTGTTTCCCTTCGAGGCGCTTTTCCCAAACCATGTTCTCTCCATGATAGCATGGTCTGAAGAGATATGCAACACAAACAAGCTCCTGCGTTAAACATGTTGCTGCGAGTCGACGAACGTTCATAGGCGCGTTTGTGTGAAACATGTTCTGCTAGTGCGAAGAACGGCATTGGTGGCTGCGTTAAACATGTTGCTGCTTGCGCGAAGAAAGTTATCAGGGGCTTGTCAGGGGCTGTTGTGTGAAACATGTTGCTGCTAGTGCGACGAACGTTATTGGTGGCTGCTGTGTGAAACAGGTTGCTGTTGTTCAACGAACGTTATTACCCACCCACCCACCGACCCATATCCCCCCCACCCCACCCCCTCCGCCGAATCCCGGAGTGCAGCCTGCTGTTCTGGGGCTGCCGAATAAGGAGCAACAGTAGCTGGCGCTGGGGCGCCGAAACCCAACACATGGCGGCAGGGCTGAATCCGGCCATCTCGCCACCTTTCACGGCAATCTCCTTGGCAGGGTGCGAAGCAGCTTGATACTCGGTTGCTTTTCTGCTCCCCTGCTAAAAGTTTAGCTTTTAGTGGTTTAATGGACAACCCATTAGTTGGCAGAAAGTTAAAGCCCTAACATCCAAGCAAAATGCATCAAAGGATAAAAGGCATTCCAATTACTAGCAAACATAAGATTACCTTTCTGCCCAATTAGTTCCCCAAAAGCCGTAGACTCATTCCCACCATGTTGATGAGAGCCAAGGCCTTTTTCCAGCGAGTCCAAACTAACTCGCGACCTGACTGGTCTGCGTCGGAAGACCACCAGAGATGGCGTCGCCAAGTCCAAATAAAGATTTTGTGAGCTTCACGCGCAAGAGCGCGTAGCTACGAGCCGGTACATAGCTGATGCAAACTGCAGCTTGGCTGACAGCATCAGGCTATGGCTGACGGCACCTGGCTATGTGTTCAAACTACCCTGGCAGGCTGAACAAAAAACGTCTCTAGAAAAAGTTGTTAAAACTTCTGTTCGTCAAGGGTCAAACACTTGCCTTGACCGAGCACGGGTAGGCAAGTCAACAAGGCTCGCCAAGGGAGTGGGCTTGGACAGGGAGCGAAAGGACTTTGGGGACCGGGAGACCGACGATTTTGGCAGCGGGGGCAGTGGAATTCGCTTAGGTGACTCTTCGAAGAAGACCTGCTTCCACAACCTTTCCTTCACCTTGCGCTTTGAGGCTGTGCAAAGTGATGAAAGCTGGTTGTTGACTACCGGCAAAGCGCACATGTTGATCAAAACAAAGTAATACGAATCATAATAAATGGTGAAAAATCCAACACAGCCAAGTTGCCGTGTCGTAAGCCACATCCCGTTCGCTTCTCCCACTTTTCCCGTTTCCTTCGTCTAGGATGGAGTTCAACAAGTCGAGCTCCGCGTTGTTGAGGTCTTCCACCTTCCAGTCCAAGTCCGGTGTGTCTTTGCGATTCAGCGGCCAAAGAGGCGGGAGCTTGATCTCAGGCGACACGAGGTGCCAGCTTTTCTCCGGCTTGGGATCCTTCAACCTCTTCCCTTTGCCTTTGGCTGCCTTACTTGCCTTCGCCTCTTTGAATGCTTGCTTGCACTCTTCCTTGGCCAAAACGGCTGCGGCGGCCACTTCCACCTGACATCCAGCCTCATCCTCACCAAAGCCATCCACACTATCACACCTTGACATTTGATCATGCAATTGACTTGCATCCCTCTGTGTGCCTGCATCTGCGCCTGCATCTGTGCCTGCATCTGCGCCTGCATCTGCACGCGCATCTGCGCCTGCATCTCCAGGGGTGTTGAGCAATCTGCGCAACGACTGGCCAGGTTGCCCTTGCTTTGGAACTTCTGGGGCCAACTCCTGGTCAAATTCGGTGTCCTCCATGCAATTCTCCGATGCTTCCACTCTTGGCACGTCCACGTCGCCCACGTCCGCGGGACGTGCTGGCTCCGGCGTCCTGACACCGGTCTCCGACAGCGAAAGGGTCACCGCGGGGGGGGCCTCGCCAGCCGAAGGCTCGGGCGACGTCGCCGAAGCCGTCTGGGAAGGGGACTCCAAAGTCTCCGAAGGTTGCAGAGGCACCCTTAGCGGCGCCAAAGGCTTCGAAGGTTTTCGAGGTTCCAAAGGCCCAGGCTCCGAGCTGAGCTCGGAAGGCTCTGAAGGCTCCAACGCCTCTGAAGGCTCTAAAGGCTCTAAAGGCTCGAAAGGCTCCAACGGCTCCAACGGCTCGGCCTGGCCATTCTCGTCGCTGGTCTCGGCCGGAACCTCTGCTGAAGGCGCGGCCTTCGCAGCTTCAAAGTCGCTTCCGGGACGGAAGCCCCCTCTTCGGGAGGGCTGGAATACAAGATCTCGTTTCCTGGGGGTTTGCTAACTGCCGGAATCCTTCAACCTGGACAAATCTCATTCCAGCTTAGAAGTGGGCTCAGTGGTTCGGGGCGGCCCGAAGGGGAAGATCCTAACAGCGGGGAGGACTCTAACAGCCCAGAAATGAGGCCCAACAAGCCGAGTGGGCCTGGGTCCATTCGAGCCCAAAAGACAACTTTCATCCTTGAACCCGCCTCACTAAAGCTGCCCCCCCTGGGAAAAAGATCAATTTCCTCTCACCCAACTAGCCTCCAAGAAGAAATCCCAATTCAGAGCCCCCGACCCAACAAAGAGTGGAAAAAGCGACAAGAACTAAGACATCTCATACACCTCCCCCTCTTTTCTGGGGAGCCAAATCGAGCGGACATGGCCTGAGCCCCTAAAAGACCGGAAAAGATCAATGCAAAACACCCATCCCAAAACACACACCTCCTTAAATGTCCTCTTCAGACATCACTCCAAAGGAAATTCAGCCACAATTGCACAAAAAATGTGATGCTTGAAATGGCGTAAAAGGGAGATGTAGAGGCCGGGGGATCCACAGACGGAACCCGGACATCTCCAGGAGGCCTTCCCCAGGTCCAGCTCTGAGATCTGAAGGCGGACGCCCTCCACAAACTCCTACCACCGCTTTCGGTTTGGACCCGACGTGTTTTTGCCGCCGTGTTTTTTTTTCGGGGTCCGGGACCCCAAAGCTAACATGCCGTTTGACCCAGCTGACAATCTGCAAGCTGTTGGTACATGGCGCGGCCAGTCGAACCAAAGTGAAAGCGGAACCTATCTGGCCATGGGTCTAAAGCCCGTACCCCCAGTGAACATCCCAATCCCCACTAAATAGACTAAAATGGGTGGTGCCCCTACCCCAAAATGGTACCATTGGTCAAAATGACCCACAGCCATCTATTCCCAGCCAAACACATCTGGCACCGTTCCACCTCTCGGCAGCTCGCCTGGAACGCGGCCTCCAGATTCGAACTGCCCGGCTTGCTTTGCAGCGCCGAACGCATGGCGACCAGGCTGGCCTGCAAATCCTGCAGCAGCTGCTGAGGAACCTGGTGGCTGAAATGAGCAATGGACAAAAAGGACGTGTTGTTTGATGGTATGCGTTTTACGGTGGGCTGGAAGGGAAACCAAGGCTTCTACCAAAAAGAGTGCACGCTACTCAGGCAGGAAATGGGGATGGTTCGGGGGAACCCCCCCTTCTTCAGTTGATATTCGAGGACACCGCGGAAGGACATTTCGAGGCAAAGCCAAGAACCGCTTCTGTGACACTATACAGTCATTGATCCCCGATCTGTTGTCGCTGGTGTAGAAAGCGGCGATCCAAACCTTTCGCATGGAGAGAAAGAATGTTGCAAGCCCGAACCCTAAACCATGAATACCCCAGAAGCTGGTTGCGCGTGGTTGCAAAATGGACCCGACGTGTCCACCATCCTCCCCCCTTTCTTTTCAACTCACCTGCCACTTCTCTCGGCTCTCATTCACCTCCCTCAAGACGTCCACGTCGGCGCTGGCAGCAGCCTGCAGATCTGCCAGGACACTCACACAATGCCTGGCGGTGGCTAGGGCCCTGTGGACGACCGTATCCTCCTGATCAGGGTGCGATGCAACTCCCTGTTTGATCCTGTTCCCAACAGCTATTGCTTTAACCAGCCCCTTTGGGCTTCCCCTTACAAGCCAGAGTCCGGTTGCTTTTACAACTTTTGCCCAACGGAACCCGTCGCCTGATAGCCCATGGAAAGCTCTTGCAGCTGGCTCACGTGCTGCTGCAAAAACTCCACAGATCTCAAGGTGCTGTTGATAGTAGGCACCTCCTCCTCATCCTCCTCCTCCTTCTGCGTGTCCTGTGCCTTCTGCTCCTCCTGCAGCGCTTTCTCCGCTTGCTCCTTCGCTCTTTCGCGCTCCTGCTGCTCTGAAGCATGCTCTTGCATCGAGCACACGGTGTGTCTTTCATGGCCATGAGCTTTTGCCCCATGAACCACTGACCTGATCAGGCGCATCTTCCCATCCTGGCTGTTCTTCCGCAGGAAGATCCGGGCATGGTTGAAGATGGCCCTCCGAGCGGCCACGCTGACGCCGGGGGCGGCCTCGGTCAGGATCTGAGGTACCAAGTTCGTGATGGAGGGATGCGGCGTGGCTTTCTTGCTGGCGCTCTGCCACTTCTTCTTGGCATTCAGGGCACGGCCTTGCGCCTCTGCCGTGGCAGAGGAAAACCTGCTCTTCTGCGACATCGGAGCACTCAGCTAGCCCACAGTCATAGCTTGTGGAAAGCTTGAGCAGAGCAGTTCCAACTCAAGAGACATGAAAGTGGCTTCCTAGAAAAGGGGTTTTACAAGCAAGCCATCTGAGGCGTGCAAAGAAGTGCACGCGCCGCCATCGAAGAGCTGAATTCATAATCAGCCCTCGCCCGAAGTCTGCACTTCTGCAATTCACAAAAGCTATCGTGTTTCAAGGATCTTCCGACAATCTCCGCAATCACCTCGCCAGTGTCAATATGACACGTTCGTGGCTCGCCCTGCCCAGTCCTCGTAGCCGCCAATCTCGATAGTGCCCACATATTGGATGGGGCCTGACCCACCAACCAAAAAAAACCCGGCCGCAACTTTGCTTTTTGTACCCAGCCAAAAGCAACGCCACCAGAAGCCACCATCTTCCTAGGACAAAAGCAGGTTTGAGTCACAGACCATGCCCAGACCTCAGGCTTCCTCTCTCTCGTTTGAATCCCCCAGACCTGGTGAGAAACAAAAATATCGCCCGCGCCTCGCACATTCACGCGCGCCGCCTCCACCCGGAAGTCCTCAGGGGCCAGAAGAGCGGCAGCGGTGCATCCGAATGTTCCTCCCAGTGCGACCTTCCATCAGGTTCAGGGAAAAGTTGTTAGATGTTTTACACGGGGATGGCTAAGGGAACCTGTGAAAATCCTTTGACAAAGTCAGATTTGAAGTCAGCCAGACTTTTACAGGTCCACAAATCGTGTCCCACTCATCGCTTTGCCATTTGCTGTGGGCAAACAACCATTGTGACTTTCCGAAAGTGTCAAAAAAGAGCTGCTGTTCTGGCGGTGTACACACTTTCCAAGATGTTTGTGACCAAAACAGAACAAAGTTGCACGTAGAGAAGACTGCAGTTTCATTTTGACCACCTGCGGGTAGTCAACACACTACAAGACCCGTGAGCTGTCGCTCAAGCACAAAGTGGCTGAGCAAACATGCTTATCATTTGACCTGCGCGAATGCTGTCTTGTGCGGATGCGGTCCATAGCGTTCGTATGCGCAGTCAATTGCATGAATGAACGCGCATGCACTCAAAGCACCTTGAAAAATTGCTACAACCTGCTTGCCTAACAACAGCGATGCGGGCACCAGCCATCCTCCCACAGTGAGGCGTGTTCAGCCAACAAGTTGTTTCGTCCTTTGCCGGACGACGGATGGACAGTTTGAGTTGTCCGCAGGCGCTGCATAAGCGCGTAAAATGTGTTGCTTAACATGATCAGGCTCCGCCCATAGTGGCACTGGCTCGTCACTTGTTGGTCGAAATGAAACTTAACATCTCACACTGCACAGGCTACACCTCTTGAAACCTTTGAAGCTAGAGACTCGCCCAAAGCTGTCCGCAGCAAGTAGGAAGTGCACGTGGCGTTCCACGGCCACCAGCACTTTGCACGCCCCCCAAACCAATCAGCGATCAAACCTAACAGGGCGCCCTATAGTATGTCCTGTTTAAATATCACCCCATCAAGTCAATAAAGAAACTCACTCAAGAAACTCACCCGAAACAAAAAACCAACATAGGAACGCCCAACAAAAATCCAAGACATGCCCCAGCTCGCGCCCCGCGCCCGCCTCCCCGAGTTCGCATCGTTGCCGTGCGCCGTCCGGGGTGGCACCCTGGCACCAGCCTCAGTCCACAAAAAAATCCGTCGGAGCCTTTGCCCGAACAGCCAGCGACAGAAAACCGGGCCGTCCGTGTTCAGATCGCGAAAAGTTGAGAAAACGTATGGAACCACCAAGGAAAATAGGCGGTTTGCCTGAAGGCTCCAAATCATTTCAGCATTTCATCTATTTCCGAGAATAGAAGTGGAGAGGATGGAATCGTCTTCCAAAACCCTCCTAGGCTGATGGGTTCCATGAAGACCAATGGAGAAAATCCGATCCGCCGATCGGCACCAGTTAGGCACCAGTTAGTGGTTTGCCCCGCTAAGGCTTCCCTTGCCTCTTTGCAGTTTTGCCTTTGCTTGCTATTTTTGGCCGCTGCCGCTTGTTGATTGCTTTTTTGCCATGTGTCTCCTCCGCTTGCCATATGCACACTGCTGCTTGATTTCCGGCGCCGTTCGCAATTTGATCTATTGAAGTCTGCTTGCTGGTTGCAATTCGCTGTCTCCTATGTGCTGCTTGTTTTTGTGCCGCTTGTCGTGCTTATGCCATTCTTGATGCTGGTTTCGGGACAGATACTACGCTTGATTCAACATGTTCTTGCTAGTTCATTGACTGAAGGCTGCTGCGCAAATGGAGTTCTCCCCCGGACTGCAAAGCAACTAGGCTTCAACTCCATTCCAGGACTGTTCTTCTGATGCAAGCATTGGGCTTTGGACAGGCCAGTGCCTGTGTGCCAGTTTCTGCTTGAACTGCCCTACATCCTGGGCTTCATCCCACGTGAGTCGCAGAGTCAAGGGCACGCCTCAGAAAGTGCTTTCCCAAACTGGGCAGGTCGTGCATCCTGGCATGTCTTTCGCCGCGATGTTCATGGGGAATGCCTGAAAGAATGATCAATCCACAACCGGCTTGCTGCCATGTATGTGAGCATATACATAGTTTATTTACATATATTGGGTCAAGCAGGAGAGATAGGCCACAGCATATTGCAGTAAGGTCAATTGCTCTGCTCACAGAGGCGTCCTCTCGCACTTCTTCGTACCCTTCAATGATAGAAGGCGGGGGAAAACAGCACCCGAGCTCATCAGAAGGGCCGCCGATGTGCAAAAAGGCTCACAAAAGACAAGGTGCCGCTGCACATTTGGCCTGAAGCCACATGTCGACACATCCAACCCACTTCTTACTGCTGATTTGGCCTCACCTCCCTTTCGCAAGCAACTAAAACCGCCCGGCTTCAGCGGTTTCCATTCTTGCCAACCCCACCAGCCTCCACAACATCCGGGGGTCGGGCAGAGGCGGAAGGCCCCAGAGGCCCGCAGGGTGACATTGGCCCAGAGGCTGAAGGACTCGTTGCCCAGGTGCCGCTGCCTCGAGCCCAAACCAAACTCATCTGTTTGGGCGCCAAGGATGCAACCTCTGGTTGGTGAATGGAGCTGTGTCCCATTCAAAAGGGAGCACCCCCCCCATCCAGGTTGACTGTGGGGTGAATTGGAAAGCCCACGTTCAACCATGGAAGTGGACAAGGGGTCCTCAATTGAAACATGTTCTACAACGTATACGTGTCAGCTTCCATCATAACGATGGGCACCTTTTGATTGGCTCTGGGGAACGTGGTATGGTGTCGCACACTAACTGACGGTTACTTCCCCAGTTCCTGCTGGTCTAGTTCCTGGAATTACAATCATTTTCTTTTAATAGTTTTCTATCTATTTCTTTCACTTTCTTTTACTTTGGATTCACGAGCTACAGAAAAGACCAAGAATAATCAAAAATGAATAATAAAAGAAAAAGCATTTGTTCGCTTCCAAGCTGCTCCTTCGTCCAAGCGATGCGGCATAAGACTAACAGATAGACGAAACGAAAGTGACCAAAGACCCAACACCCATTCCTTGACGAACACACGTATTGCCCGTATTGCCACATTCTCACACATGCAGCCCAGAGCAACGTCTAACTAGGCCTTTGAGGGTACGCATTTGCTCCCCGAAACCAGTAGCCATGAAACAGCCGCACGAAACCTCGGACCCAAAACCTTGCTGATTCTGGGTAAGGAGCTTCAAGCGTTCCCCTAAGTATTGGTTTATAAGAACATTCCTTCACTCCCTACTTAGAACGAGCAAGAGTACCAATATTCAAGCTGCAGTAATATTATGCCAACTCCTGGATGAAGGGAATAAGCCTGAAAATGGCTACATCTTGCCTCTTATTTTATGCTCATGACTTCCTTTCAAGAGATGTCATCCATAAAACATGTGGCTGTTAAACATGAATCTATGTTCTGTGATTTTGCATTATTGCTGTTGCCTTCTGTCATATGGGTCTTTTGGAATGTCATACACATGGCATATTGTGATATACCTTATCAAAATGTGTACATGTTATTCTTGTTTTCCCATCATCATGCCAGGTTTACTATTTCTAGGTTTGTGTCATGTTGTCCTGTTTAATATATGCCGTCTTCTGCACGTGAACTGGAAATCCAAGCAAAAGGCTAAAAAACCCTAGGGAACCGGATGACCGGATGACACACCGGGGGCGAATCTGGGAACTCCCGGCGCCATGAGGATGCTGCGGCTCTGCACCTCGTCGGCCAACACCTGGCCGGCTTCGCCAGGGCCCGGTGGATGTTCGATAGGCAGGGAATGAGTTGGAATGCCCTCTGCAAACCACGCGCTATGCTTTCCAAGGGAATCCCCAAGTTCATTCCCAAATCCTGGGTCATTCGCTACTGAGCGCCAGCAAGTTTAAAGGGGAACCGAAAGGAAAACCGAAGCCACTTTCGGTCCCAAAAAGAAGACACACCCACCTTGGAGCTAGTTTTGATAGAGGACCCTTTGGTGGACGGCAGGGATTGTCCACCACTTGTGCGGTGGTTCCAACTCTTCAATGAAAGCCAAAACGCCAAAAAATCCGCGGCTTACCACTTGACCTCCCACCCCCCCACCCCCCGTTTTCCTCGGGATGGTTAATAAGTGGTGCTTCCTTGGCGTCTTTTCAGGCGAAGGGAGCACCTCCCAAGAAATGGCCCCAGTTTCGGACCGTCCACTTGGACAAACTCACTGATTGAAGCAGGGACGGTACGAAAGCGATCGCGTCAATTCGTAAAAACTGGCCCAAAAGGGAACTGTCCTTTACTCAGCCCCATATGAAGCCTGACGTATTTTTGAGAAAGACATGTAGAACTCTGTATGGTGGAATGGTGGGAGTCCCACCGACAAGTGCTGAGGCGATTCGTTTGAGACAAAAAGGGTTCACCCCCTCGACTGCTCAGTAGGGAATGACCCAGTCCGGGTGCTGGGAATGAACCAGAAGGGGATTCCCTTAAGGCTGTGGGTCAAAACCAATGAATGGCACCATTTCGGGGTAGGTGCACCACCCATTTTCGAACCTATTTTAGTGGTTGGATTGGGATGTTCACTGG